GGTATTAAGGTGGCAAATGGGGTGAACTCTTGCCCACAGCTGCCAGCGGGGCTGTCCCCTCTGTGGCCTGTGTCTCTGGAAGAAGGCTATCTTTCTGACTACTTACGGGAGGTACAATAAGCCAGCCGGAGTTGACCACCCACTTTAGAACCCTGTAGTACTGGAGTGTGGAGTGAAACCCATTGGCAGTCAAAGAAGCTTGGTATGAGAGGGAAGCCGTGGGTCCCATCTTTAGAACCTCCTCTCCCTGACTTCCCACACATAAACATCTGCGATAAGAATGTTCTAAGTAGACTGGAAACAGTGAAAGGCCCTGAGGTAAAGTAGTTCACATTCAGCACATCTTTGACAGTATGGCGGGAGGGAGAGGGCCTTTCTTCCTAGTGCGGGAAGTCCTCTACACACTAGGTAAACAATCACTGACCTACACCCAGACCCTGACTTCATGTTCAAGTCCCATGCGCAGGGGCGGGGGCTAAGCTCCCTTGAGAGAGCTCGTTGGCCTTGACAACTACCCACAATGGCATTTCACCCATCTCACGGGGGAGGGGGGGCTCATATAGCCCAGGCTGGCCTCAAACTTGCTATGTAGCCAAAGTTGACCTTGGACTTGTGATCCTCCTGTCTCATCTTCCTGATTGCTGGGAACATAGAACTACATCAGCATACCCAGCTCAAGTCATCTATTATTTTAAGGCAGGGTCACACTAGGTGTCACAGGCTTGTCTTAAACTCCTGACCCTCTTCCTCAGCTTCCCATGCCCCAGGGACTTCCCATGCTCTGCAGATTCTCTCTCCTGAGGGCCAATGCAGGTACAAGGGAACCCAGCTAGCTGGACCACATCTTCCTGAGAAGGTTCCCCGTTCAACCCATCATGCATCCCTCTTCTGACCTGACCCACACGCTCCATTCCCACCCCACTCACCTACACTAGTTACCTCTGGATTTTCTGTCAAGATGGCAGTCAGAAGACCCTATAAAACAGTCATGTAACCTCCTTCTCTGCTCTGCTATCCCAGGAACCCCACTGTCTTTTATGCCCCATACCAGACGCCATCGCTCCTTCTCGGGTGGAGCTGTCTCAGGGCCTCTGCACTGGCTTCTCCCTCTGCTGTCCCGCAACCTCCCTCACCTCCTTCAGCTGGGATGGGTACTTTCCATCTTGCCCACTGTCTGCTGAGGGGAGCCACCCCTCGGTATGTGAAGTGGTGTCAGATAACCACTGGATGAGTGAGCGAGTGCCCTGCGTGGCTGCTGGAGGAAAGGCAGGGCTGGCCATCTCCCAGGAGAGCACAGGCCCACCCCATGGTCCGCACCCTGCTCCCTGCAGTGCCAGGGCAGGGAGGCACCACTTGACTTCTTGCTGGATGGAGGCTTGCTTTTGCACTTGGGGAAAAAAAAAATCAATGGTGCCAAACACCTTTTTTTTTTCTAATGCTTCTGCTTGACTTTTTAGTGGACTGCCTGGTTTGTTTTTAACTATTTTGTTTACATTTATCTACTGTGTCTGTATGCATGCCTCACCACATCTGTCAGCCAGAAAGCATGCCTGAGTTACTTTTCCTCCACCACACGGGTCCTGGAGGTCACAGTCAGCTCTTCAGGTTTGGAGGTAAGTGCCTTTACCCACTGAGCCATCCATATTAAGTGTATGGGTGAGTCTGCGTGTGGGTGTGTGTACCTGAGCATAGGTACCTGCAGAGGCCAGAAAGCACCGCGTCCCCTAGATTTGGAGTTACAAGTAGTCTTAGCTGCCCAATATGGGTGCTAGGGAGCAAACTCAAGTCCTCTAGAAGAGCAAGCACAGCCACGTCTCCGCCCTTACTGTGCTTCCTTGTGTGTGTGCTCCTTCATGCCCATGGATGTGTGGGCGCATGTGGAGGTTAGAGGTCAACCTTGGGTATTGGTCCTCAAGTGTTATCACTTTGCCTTAAAAAAAATTACTAGGGCTGGAGAGGTTGCTCAATGGTTAGAGCACTGCCTACACTTCAAAAAAACCTGGGTTCGAACCCACATGGCACCTAAAAACTGCCTTTAACTGCAATCCCAGGGAGGATCTGATACCTTCTTCTGCCCTGTGAGCTCAGGCATGCAAGCAGGCAAAACACCCAAATAAAATAAAATATTTAAAAATTACTTTGAGGCTAGGCTAGCCAACATAGCAAGTTCTAGGACAACCAGAGCTATATAATGAGATCCTGTCTCAAAGGGAGAAAAAAAAACCACATTTTATTTGTGTGCATGTGTGTTGCCAGTTTGCATACAGAGGTTGTGGGAGTCCTTTCTTTCCTTCTTTCTTTCTTTCCACCGTTCGGGTACGAGGGATCAAACTCGAGTTACAGGCTTGGTGGCAGCCTTTACCCCACTGAGCCATCTCTCTAGTGTGTCACCCCCTTTATATTGGGAATTGAACTCGGGGCCTCAAATACGTTAGGCAAGGGCGCTACCACTAAGTTATATCCCATATTCCCAGCCCCACCATGCATGAGCTCTCCAGTTAGGCTGGCCGGCCAATGAGCCCACCCATAGGCCTTCCTGTTTATGTCCCCAGTGCTGGGGTGACATCTGCAAGCCAGCATGCCTAGCGTTTTCACATGGGTTCTGACTGTCAAGCTCAGCTGCCACAGCAAGCACTTTACCAAGTGCGCTGCCTCCATGGTCTACGTGGTCCCTGCATGGTTTTCTTTTGCTCTTTTTTTGTGGAGGGACTCCCTGCACAATACAGAATAAGCCTCACAATGAAGATCCTCCTGCCTCTACCTCCCATGTCCTGGGATAACAGGCCTGCTCCACACCTGGCTGGTTCAGCTTTATTTGGATGCCCTTTTTCTTATTGATTTGTGAGAACTCTTTATATATTCTGGGCACTAGTCTTTTACTGGTTCCTTCCTTCCTTCATCTGTGTGTCCACAGCTCTGTACCCAGTATACTACAACCACTCACTGGCTACTTCACAAAGGTAAACTGAAAAGAATTACATGGGACTGTCTTCTAGAATTATCACCATTCCTTGTTTTATTTTTGTTTGAGACAAGTTTACTCTGTGTAGTCCCTGGCTATCCTGGAACTCACTCTGTAGACCAGGCTGGCCTCAAACTCAAAGATCTGCCTGAATGCTAACATCAAAGGCTTGCGCTACCACTGCCCAGTTTAGGCCAAGTATCTTAACCCCTCTGATTGAAAAGGAAACCATGTGTGTGCCTGGACTGTTCCTGGAACACTATTGGGGATGTGTAAGTGTGTAAGTGACAGTCTGATGCACTGCCTTTCCTCACTGCCTTGGACCCCATTCCCCAGCCTCCTTTCTTACGTCTCTGTACACGCTCACTGCTGTGGTTTACTCTAGTTTTTGTGTGCTCTCTGGTGAGGAGCCCAAGGCACTGAGGAAAATGAGTGACTAGTAAATCAATGATGCAGACCCTGAGACACAGTATGGTGGCCTGGATGTGAGTTCCACCCTGGCCGCTCACCAGAGGCACAGGCAAAGCCAAGCTGCTTATCTTCACAAGCTGCAGGCTTGTCATCTGAGAAGAGCTCACGGCTGTTGGGTGCCGCACGAGACCTGCTCAGCATTCCAGCGACCCTCATCAGGAAGTGTGGACCTGTTGTTATTTGCAGTGATGGAACGGAAACTAGAGCCTCTCATCTGCTGAGAAGGCACTCTGCTGGCAACCCACCCCTCCGACGGGTCCTAGGCAGGGGCTGTACTGTTGACCCACACCTTCCCGGGCCTGGGAGCATCCCAGTCCTAGCCTGGCAAGGCCTACTCCAAACTTCTCCAGGCAGCCGGCTTGCCCCAGCCCACACAGAGGAGCTGCTCCACAATGCTAGAGCCTATGAACTTAGCTGTATGCTATCCTGGCAGGGCTCTTATTTATCTATGCATCTCCTTTTTTTTTTTTTTTTTTTGGTTTTTCGAGACAGGGTTTCTCCGTATTGTCTTGGAGGCTGTCCTGGAACTATCTCATAGTCCAGGCTGGCCTCGAAGTTACAGAGCTCCACCTGCCTCTGCCTCCCGAGTGCTGGGATTAAAGGCGTGTGCCACCAACGCCCAGCTGCATTTCCATTTTTAACATTTATTTTAATTTTATGTGTATGAGGGCTTTGCATGTCTTACTGTGCACCACTTGGGCGCCTGAAGAAGTCAAAAGGAACTACAGTTAGACATGGTTGTGACCCACCATGTGGGTGCTGGGAATGGAACTCCCAGGATGCACTCTGTGAGCTGTTTCTCCAGCCTGTGTCTCTATTTTAAAATGCAAACCAGGTGGCATTATTCATCTGTCTCCGATCTCCCAAAGGGAAAACTCGACAATAAAAAAATGTGTTTTCTGTACCAGGCACACAATCACATCTGTAGCTTGATTCCCTGTGACAGCTATTATATACTTCTCTCTGCCTGGGGTGTGTGTGACCTCCCCCAGCCCGGTGATCTCTGAGAGGCCACTCAGCACTTAGAAGGATCTGCAGTGGCTGCCCTTGTTAACTTGTTGCCCGTTCCCAGGGAATTCTGTCCTGCAATTGGAGAACACGTCCCTCCAAGCAAAACATGGTGCCTGGCACAATGGCTGCTTAGCACTTGTTGGTGAACTGCAGAGTGAATGTCTTACAGCCTTGACTGCGAACCAAGCCCCACCAACATGACTGCTAGAGTTATGAGCACCTCCCCGCTGTCTGCAAGGAGCTGAAGGGAAGTGGGTCGGACGGATTTCCGGAGTCCAGCGCTCTCATCCCAAGAAGGGCCTGAAACTTAGCAACCCCGCAGTCACAGAAAAGCTAAGTGGGAGGAGTAGGAAGCAGGGAAGGGGGTTCCTGGGGCTCAGATAACGCCTGGCTTAGGGGACACACCTACTCCCCTGTCGTCCCTCCCTCCTAACCCCCGGCACAGTACTACTTTGGGGAGGAGGGCAGGAGGCCTCTGATTCATTCTTGAAAAACCGGATCCCGAAGGTTTCATCTCCCCAGTGTTTCCGGGGCGGGGGCTGAGGGGCGTGAACGTACCCGGACACCCGGCCTCTAGGCTCGCTCTCAGTCTTTCTCTTCGCAGTAAAGAGTAGACCGGGTGGGTGGAGGGGGAATGGGATTAAAGGACCCACGGCATTTAGGCCTTGCCTTGCCTCACCCGCTCAAGAGAAGGGACACGAGGACAACTTGGAAGCTGTCTGGTGACCTGTGGGCGCGGGGAAGGAAGCAAAGACCAGCAGGTGCGGCTCCGACGTGAACACGGGGGTGGCCGCGAGTCCAGCGGCTGGTCAGGGACGACTGCAGGGGCTAGTTTCTGGACGCACAGGCACGGGTCCCTTGTCCCCGCCGGCCACTGACTAGCTGTGTGACCTTGAGTGAGCCACTCCACCTCTCTGGCCCCGAGACCTCACTTCTAAAACAAGTTCACAGCCCCTCCCAGCAGGCTGTTTTGATTCAATGCTGTGCACCGTAAGCGTCTGACGAGGAAGCGCGGGGTGCGGGCTAGCGAGGCGGATTCAAACTATTCCTGCGGTTGTTACTGACATCCGGTCTCGGGTGGCCTCGGGGGCCCCGCGAGCAGCTCTTGGGCAGGGGCCCGGGAGGGGTCGGGACCGACCCACCACCAACAGGGAAGCGTCCCGGGAGCAGAGGGCAGGGGCGGACCGGAGGCCCCGGCCAGCGGGGAGGCGGTCCGTGTTTGGGGTCCCGACGGGGCCAGCCCCCACCCCGCCGCCACGGCTCCACGCCCGGGAGGCCGCCCCCGGCCGGGGAACACTCACCTGCGCCGCAGCCACCCCGCGCGCCCAGTTCGGTCCTCTGGAAACTCGGCCGGGCTTCTCCCTCGGCCTCCGGTACCTGGGCGGGGCCGGCGTCCCGAGAGGACCAATCAGCGGCGACCGCCCCTACTGGCGGCCAATGGGTGCCTTTCGTCGGGACGCTCCGGAGGGATCCCTCCGCCGCACCTCGGCCTCCCCCCTGGTACGTTCAGTGGTCCGACCTTACTCGGTCTAAATGGCTGCGGGCTGAACCATTGAGGGGCTGCGCGGGTGGGAGGACGAGGAACGGGGCGGGGAGCTGGCAGTAAGAGTCAGATGACAGGGTTTGGAAGAACGCGCTCGGCGTCCAGGAAAGCGGCCTTTTTGGGAGGTCAGCGAGGGTCCCATCGCTCAGCTTCTCTCCCAGAAAGATGCTTTGACTCCAGGGGGTGGGCTCTAGTGAATAGGGAGGGTCCCGCGTGTCTCTGCTTCTTCCACTCTACACAATAGACAAAGCAAGCGTACATTCATTCAGTCTTTCAATCTTTAAGTGCCCCTGCCCGGTACCAGGCTCGGTCCTGGCTCTACGGACACATGGATAGAGATATAGGGTGTGCAAAGGCTCCGAAACTGCGCAGAGAGTCACAGAGCACTTTGCTAGCAAAGCTATGTAAGAATACACTATGGAGCATATTCAAACAGTCGACTTGTCACTTGAGTACTGTGCAGAATCATAGATGGTGACCAACCCGTGCAAACCTCCTCCTCCTCCTCCTCCTCCTCCTCCTCCTCCTCCTTCTCCCATTTTCCTCCTCTCCCTCCTCCTCTCCCTCGTTCATAGAAATGTATGATGGGGAAAAGGGCAAATTATTGAATCTCCTTAAGCCCAAAACAACTGCTAATCTCAAGCTATTTTACATTGGTATAGATTTTAGTTTATTGATATAAATTTACGGTTAACTTTGTTATGCTGTATTTATATTTCTACTCTTGTTTAAGGTATTATGTTTATGCAGCTTATAATAGTCAAACTGAAGGTTATGTTAGTTTTAGTTAGATATACAGAGATATATTTTTAAACGGATAGGTAATCTTCAAACACTTCAAAGACCTACAGAATATGACAATTAAAATGTTTTAACAACTTAGAACTTCTTTTTTCTTTTTTTCTTTTTTTTCTTTTTTTTTTTTTGGTTTTTCGAGACAGGGTTTCTCTGTGACATTGGAGGCTGTCCTGGAACTAGCTCTTGTAGATCAGGCTGGCCTCGAACTCACAGAGGTCCACCTGCCTCTGCCTCACGAGTACTGGGATTAAAGGTGTGCACCACCACTGCCCGGCACAACTTAGAATTCTTTTTATGTGAGACATATCTTCTCCTGGCAGCTGATCTATTCCTGAGAGGATGATGGGCACTGAATACACACCATATGGAGTTTGGTTTCCTTTTGCAAAACTGGCCTATTGGGCAAAGAACTGCCCTTGCCTGGACTGCTGACAGTAAGCATGCTGTCCAATCCAGACAAACAGGACACAAGAAAAAGTGACTGCTGAACCTTGCCAAGACAGGTTAGGACAGTCCTTCAAATTTTCTTGCTTCTGAAAATGGTGTGTCAGATATTCAAGGCTTATAAGCCCAAGTGGGATGCCCCAACATCACCAAAAAACCTTGGGTGACTGTCCAGGCAGCCAACTGTTGCTGTCATTTCCTGTATCTTTAAGAAGTCACTGGCTTGCCCTTATTCAGGTAATATTATTCCTTCTCAGGTCTTTGATGGAGTTGAAGACTAGATAATTATAGTTATAGTTTTTCTTAGTTATAATAATAGATAAATGGCCAGGAGGTGGTGGTGCATGCCTTTAGTCCCAGCACTTGGGAGGCAGAGGCAGGCAGATCTCTGTGAGTGTGAGGCCAGCCTGGTCTACAGAGCGAGTTCCAGGACAGGCAACCAAGCTACACAGAGAAACCCCGTCCTTTGCTTTTCAGCAATCAAAAAATTCAAAATCAACACAATAGCTAGCCACAACATGAATGTTATCCTGGCTTGAAGTTTCTTTCTGCTAAACACATTAGATGATTGCATTTTAATTGTGTCTGAGAAAGCACAAGGCAAGGCCATGTCCAGATTCAGGGTACACCGAGGACAACTCTCAGCATTTCCTTTCACCATGTTCATGTTCTGACATCCAAGAACAACGCAAGGAACAAACTGCACTCGAGGTAAAAAGCCCTCCGCCTTTCCTTCTGGGGCCCAGGGCAATGCTCACCACATGTCCTTCTTTTGACCGTGTCCCCACAGCCTTTGTGCCACTGTCACACCAGCATTTCAGGCAGATCGCCACTGCAGATCACAGGGTTTATAGACAGTTGGTGGCTACCCTTCTCCTCTGGAAGCATGAAGAATGCCTTCCACTACCACGAACACTAGTCAGCAGGGGGAAAGGATCTGGTGGCAACTCCTCTGTGTTCAATGAGATATGTAAGTGTTCTCTTCAGCAATAAGGTCTTATCGTCAGTTTGTGGAGAGCATCCAATAGCCTTGGCAATAGCCTGAGTTGTTTGGGGATTTCCATGGGACCCCTTTGTCCAATGACTCAATTAGATATAACCGATTCCCGGCATTGGAGATTTCACTGGTGGTGAAAGATGTCTAGTTGGGGCATTGTCTTCCCCATTATTTGACAACTCCATTTTGTTTGTTGTGGGGAAATCTTTTAGTACACTGTAAAGATGTGTCTCTGCATAAGGTGTCTTCTGATTGGTTTAATAAAGAGTGGAATGGCCAATAGCTAGGCAGGAGAGAATAGGCAGGACTTCCAGGGAGAGAGAGGAACACAGGAAGAATTGAGGGGTGCACAGAGACACCAGCGAGACACTGAAGAAATTAGACATACAGTATAGAAGAGAGGTACCTGGGCCTTGTGACAGAGCACAGATTAATAGAAACAGGTTAATTTAAGTTATAAGAGCCAGTTGGGGAAAAGCCTAAGGCCAAGCTTTCACAATTAATATTAAATCTCTGTCATTTTTTGACACCTGGAGGCCCAAAGAAAGGTCTGACTACTTTTGTTCATATATGTATATATGTATGTATAGTAGTAAGTAGGCTCCCCCCAAAGATGGCCCTTAGTGTAAGTCTTTGCTTCCTGTATTGCCTCCCTTAGCCTTCTCCTCCCCATCCTAGTCCTTTATACATAACCTCTGTGGTTACATGGATTGTAGCATGCGTAGAAAAGGTTTAACAGCTAACACCCACATATAAGAAAATACATACAACACTTGTCTTTTGGGTATAGGTTCTCTCACTTAGGACGATGTTTTTTAGTTTCATCTATTAACCTGCAATATTTTGACTTTTTAACATCTAAATAATATGCCATTGTTTAATTGTACCACATTTTCTTTATCCATTAATCTGTTAATGGGCATATAGGCTGTTTTCAGTTTCTATTATGATTTGAGCAGCAGTTGTTTCTGTACTAGGCTGTAGAGTCCTTTGGGTATATGCCCAAGAGTGATGTAGCTGGAACTTGAGGTAGATTGATTCCCAGCTTCCTGAGGAAGAGCTACGCTGATTGCCATAGTGGATGTAAAAGTTTACAGTCCCACCAGCAATGGATGAAGTGTTCCCCTTACTCCACATCCTGGCCAGCATTAGTTGTCATTTGTTTTATTGATCTTGGCCATTCTGACTGGTGTAAGATGAAATTTCAAAGTAGTTTAAGTCACATTTCCCTGATGACTAAGGATGTTGAACATTTCTTTAAGTGTTTCTCAGCCATTTGTGTTTCATCTTTTGAGAATTCTCTTTTAGATCTATACACTTTTTAAAATTGGGTTATTAGTTTTCTTGCTGTCCAGTTTGTTTTAGTTCTTTATAGATTTTTAGATAATAGCCCTTTATAAGGTGTGTTATTGGTAAATATCTTTTCCCATCCTTTAGGCTGTCACTTTATCCAGAATGGTGTCTTTTGCCATACAGAAGTCTTCAGGGACATGAGGTCCCATTTATTAATTTTTATTCTCAGTGCTTGTGCTATCAGTGTCCTGTTCAGAAAGCCTTTTCCTGTGTCTATGAGTTAAGCCTATTCTGCACTTTCTCTTCTGTCAGATTCAGGGATCTGGTCTTATGTTGAGGTACTTGATCTATTTGGAGTTGAGTGTTTTTTTGTTTTTGTCTTTTTGCAGGGTGATATATTTGGATCTCTTTGCATTCTTCTACATGATGTCATCAGCATCATTTGTTGAAGATGCTTTGCTTTGTATTTCCTAGCATGCATTTTGGGGTTCTTTTTAAAAAACAAGGTGTCCATAGGTGTATGGACTTACGTCTGGGTCTTCAGTTTGTTTCCATTGGTCAGTGTATCTGTTTTTATGGCTGTTTTTATTTCTATAGCTATGTAGTACAATTTGAGATCAGGGAGTAGGGACGTCTTCATTAGTTGTTTTTATTACTTAGGATTGTTTTAGCTATCTTGTTTTTTA